ATATTTAATTAGATTGGACACCATAAAATATTCCTAACAGTCACCCCTCGGGCCCGGCAGAGGTTCAGGAAGCCCGCCACGTAGGAGTGGCTGTTAGGCGTCAACTGGCAGGGGACCAAGCCCACATACCGGAGATACTCCCGAAGGAATGGGTGCAGGGGGAACCAGAGCCCCATTGACACCGACAGGATGTGCACGGCGATGCAACCCTCGGGAGCCCGGGAAAGCACATCATCAGGACCCGTCGCCACCACCACAGCTGAAGGCCCCACGTGCAGCTGAGTCACGTACATATCTTCCCTGTCAGCCTTCGACCCTATCTCCAGGGCAGCAGTATTCAGCCAGGAGTACCCCTCGGGCACATCTATGGGCTTCCCCTGATCAGCAGCGACACATTTCTTCTTAGGAGCGGTTTTCTTCTTCTCCTGTTTTTTCCCGGGGGCCACTCTTATCGGCGTCGGGTTGAGGGGCCGAGAGCTCCCTGCCTCACCAGCACCCCGAGGGGGAAGAACAGCCACGGTCACCCTCAGCCTCTCCTTCTCTTCCTCCTCCTCTGCAACTTGTACGGCGAGGGCAAGCTCTTCATCCTCCGCCTCTTGCTCGAAGCCCTCGGCTTCGACTTCGGCCACCAACTCCTTCTGCACTTCCACCGCCATCGCGACATCCTCCTGGGCCGAGGGTTGCTCGCTCGAGGACCCCGCGTCCGAGAAGCTCTCCTCTTCCATCGAGGGATCCCTCGATATGTCCTAGGAATCACTTTGGGAGGACATCTTTCCACTGGTTCGAGGGCTCGAAAACACTAAGTGTTCTAGGCTACAACTCCTAGATCTAAGGCCGCTACAGCTAGCTAAGGAGGGAGAAGAACAGATGGGGAACAGACCTTAAAGCGGGAGTTAGATCGAGGGAAGTGTTTCTCTCTCTAGGAAAAATCCGGCAGAGCTTCGCTAACAAGTAATCGCACAGGAAGAGTGGTGTCCGGCCATGGGGTATCTATAGGCGCTGGGATCCGGGCTTGGGCCTGAAAACCGGGCCTCCGGTTGGACTGCCATCATTACAAACCGTGGTTTCGCCCAATCGGTGACGCCCGCCCACGGGCAGCCAACGAGCACACACCACGTGGCAACCCCCCCAATGGCTATATCGTGACGTTAGATATTCCAACGGCTATATCTCCAACGGCTATATTCTGGGAGATCCCGGCTACACTTGACAGACCACTCCTTCATCAACCAAGAAATTAGCCCCCAGGCTTTTTACTTCACTCCACTTCATCAAGAAGAGCCTCCAGGTATACTTACCCAGAGACGCTCCCGGTTTGTGCCCCACACACTACCTGACAAATGCCTTCGGGCTCACTCCTTCAGAAGCCCACGGCTTCATATCAGGCCACCCCTCGGGGATCCCCCCGCAGCACTTTGAGGGCCGGGTAGCCCCCGGGGAGTGCGCCTCATTGATGAACAGCCTACGACACACAGGTAACGGGACCCCTCGGGTACCCTCCTCACCAACTAATCAGCAAACAGGGGACACCCCGGCAACACTTCAACTGCTACTCACATTCATGACGCCCTCGATCCCCAGATTGAGGGACTCCCCTTCGGCACCTCCCAGGAGATCAACAGCAAGCCTCCGGTAGCATGAACGCATGAGCCCTCAGGACAAGGACAGCCTTCGGCATCAGCATTGTACTCCATTTCAGACCAGGGCTTCACATTTTCGATTCATCATTGGGGGAATTCGGTGCACTCTTTTTCCCTCATTATGATTTTTTCCCACAGGGTTTTTCCTAATGAGGTTTTTAACGAGGCATCCCCCCAAAATGAAACGAAAACCGTCAGCTTTCGGCCCAAATCAGCAGCTTGACCACTCTACTCCTTTTCACCACTTTACAAGTGCCTCAAGGAGTGGGGGACTGGAGAACCCCCTCGGGAAAAATCACAAAAATCACAAACATGACCCCTCAAGTCCCGACATGTGGGTAACTGAGGGACTGCCCTCGGCAGAATAAACAAACAGCAAACTACCCACAACACCACAAACTACAACGGAACAACGGCAGAAGACAAACACAATTACTCCTTTTCCCTCAAGTACCTTTCGGCAAAAGGAGTGAGGGACTCCTGATGGAGTATATGGCCCGGGAACCCCCGGCCCACAGACTCCTACTACTCCAATGAAGGCCCAACAGGCCCAGAAAGCACAACATGCCCAAATCACAGCGCCCAAAGTACCAAGCAGCCCACAATGCGCACCAGGGGTGTCTTCGCCCCCCAGGCCGAAGGCTCTAATTCTCACAGAAGGGCCAAGACAGGAAAACAAAGTTACTGGGAAAAACGGCGAAAAACTGGAGCCCTCGGCACTAAGGGGGTCCCAGTACTCAGAGCCCTCGGCTAGTCATCTACTGCCGAGGGCGCCTTTTCCGACATGATATCCGCTCCACATGCTTATGGATCACCGTACCCTGTACAACGTCCCATCCAACAGCCGCATTAAATGCGGCCACATGCGGTTGCCAGCGCCAACCAGTTGAGGTGACCCCTCGGCCAATGACGCTTGACACGTGTCCCTGTCCGGAATTTATTGCTACTATAAATAGCACCCCATTTCCCCATTTGTAACCAGGTCACAACACACGCTGAATACTTTCTAATATACTTTCTCTCTCTATACTCATTTGCTCTGCCTTCTCTCTAGTTATTCTCCGTAATAACCCCTCGGATAAGTTACCCCCCGGGTGCACTATCCATCAAAATGAAAAGTTAAAATTTAATATAAACTAGTGATGGTAGCATGTAATTAAGTTGAACATTGAATGATAATTACAACAATAGTAGCAACCGTTCTTCTATTAAGGACAAAAAAGTAAAAACATATTATCTATTGCTTCGGATAACAAGGAAACTTACTAAATGTTTCCATATAATTAGAACCATTAATTGAATGCACTACAATCAAAAGCTCCAGACTATTAACTTCCATTAATAGCCAATTCATTTCAATTCTTGTTTCAAATCATAAATACAATCAATATTCAAATTTAGTTTCATATGTGCACTTTTACTCAAATGTATTTGCAGTTATCCTGAACTTTGCATCATTTCTATACATAAGACATGAAAGAACGTACTTTGCAAATTGCAATGGTGCACATGATATATACAACTTGTGCAATTCAATATAGGTGTCGTCAACTTGTTTTTGTTGATCTATGATTTACATGAGCATCACAAATTTCATATTCATTTGTGCACTTTTTAATACTGTGTATCTATTTACATTGACTTAATTATTATAATTAGTAATAATGTTGATCACTTTATGATAAATTATATTTTAGTTGTTGTGCACTCCTAACATTGAGATGTGCGTCTGAACGTTCATTACATGATACTTTGACTATGATAAATTCGTGCACTTTTTAGCAAAATTATTTGCACTTTTGAAATGTATGCAAAACTTTCCGTACATATACTTTTATTTACATTAATCTGCACTTTTAGTAGGATAATTTTAAATTAATTTGTACACTTACGTGTGAGTCATTGTTCACTTTTCAGTAAATATAAAATTAGTTCTTATCAAACATAACATATGTCATATTTTATGTAATGTGCACTCCATCGTCCAAGTGTAAAGTTAGAGTGCAACAATTTCGTTAAATACGTGCAAATGTTTATTCAAAAGGGTGCATCTCATTATGAATAATGGCTGGTATTTTAAGTGAAAGCTAGGTGTAAACAACATATTGTACTTGAAAACTGTAAAAACATATTGTACTTGGAACAAAACTACTAAGACGTGCACATATCAAGGAATGTAAGTGCATTAAATGTTTAAAAAAGTGTAAATAATAAAAAATAATTTCTCATTATATGACAAATACTATACAATAATAAATAATAGAGGTCCGTAAAAAAACATATTGAATGAAATAATATTAATAATATTGATTTATGGAATATTAGTATTACATGTGTGTTTACATAATACGAAGTAGTAGTTAAATTGGATCATTGATCGAAATTAAAGGATCATTAAATTAGAATCATGCGGATAACAAGGAAAACTACTTTGGAAAGAACGTGGAAGGAAGGAAAGTAAATGACATAAAAGCCCTCCACGTGAATTCCAATAAAATAAATCAACATCTTGATCTAATGGTTGTAAGTTGTTCTTATTTCTCTCCTAAGATGATTTTCTCACTTGAACTTAAATATATATATAGGGTGCGGTTCCAGTGAGAACGATGTTTAACGTGAGAGCGTGAGAACACTCACATTTAAATCAACGTGGTGCACAATGGAGCTATTCTGTTACACATTTTCAATTTGCTCGAATTAAGCCTATTTAAAGAAACACGATGACATTTTGGTAAATATTGTGAAAATGTGAAAATGTGTAATATACAAGCTTCGTTGTGCAACACGTTGGGGTAAATGTGGTGTTCTCACGTTCTTACGCTAAACATTGTTCTCATTTGATCTTTATTCTATACACACACACACACACACACACACACACACACACACACACACATATATATATATATATATATATATATATATATATATATATATATATATATATATCTTGTTCTTTTCGTGACGTCCTGATCGTAACCCCCGTGCGGGCAACACCATGAGAGGGTCTTCCCGGTGGAATTTTTTGATGAAATGTTTTGAGCATGTTCCTCATCAAGTCTAGTTTATGCATACCAAATTTTAGCTCAAAATTCAATCAAGAAGGCAGTTAAACAAATTCTTGAAACATACTGCGTTTTATATATGTAAAAAATGTGCTCTAAGAGAAGAGTCATCACTTGATCGAAGTGACGGCTTTTGTACTGTAAGAGAAAAGCCGTCACTTTAAGTGACGATTTTGCTTAATCACGATTAATGCAACAGTATTTTGTGAATTATTTTTTAACCCAGCATTACTTTGAGAATTATTTATTTGATTAGGAAAACTTGTGCACGTAAACATTTACGTGTAAACTTGTATAAATCTTTCAATTTGCTGAGTAATTTGGTACAGATAATGTACGGAAATATGTGCCACGTCAAATTGCAGTCACCTGTATCTCAAGGATTAAAATTACACCCAAAATTTTCTCGCGCTCAACACAAATGCTAAAGCGTTTTGCGTTTTGTGGACTTCTCCTATATATAATCAACAACCTCTAATACCAGAGTTTGCATCGAACTCTGTTGTTTCTTGAATCCTTATCCGTAAGCCTCTCTATCTCTCTGTCATACACACACGTACCAGATTAATGTCTTCCTGTGTTTCTTGAAATCGCGTTCTCTATGTTTATTTTTCACCACTGCTGTTCTTTTAAGGTCCAGATGTGGTGTACCGGATAAACGCATCCGTGATTTTCTTGGATATCTTTTTTTTTTAAAACCTAGTAAGTTACCTTGATTAAAAGTTAACAGATTATACTTGAGGTATAATTTATACTGGAAATGGGATGATGGCCTCATATACATTAGGGAGTACAAAAAACCTCTGTCCATTTTGGTTAATGGTTGTTATTAATTAAAGATAAATCAATCATTTGCTATTGGTTTATGGTATGTGTTAATTTGTACAGTGATCACATAGACCTACGTGATGACTGTGGCTGGGAAGTTGTTGGTTCTCCTACTCTTGAATGCGATCTTATATATAGGGGTAAAGAGCCTTTGTTTTTTCCTTTAATTCCATCTGCAGTCCTGCCATTGATCATGCCCGTGGCCATTTCAGCTAGTTTATCTTTTATGCAGACTGCTGCAGGCCCCCCTACGTGTCCTGCACATCATCACAGTGATTGTGCGAATGCATCAGGTGAATGGGAAGGTGAATTCTTCCCTGGGATTCCCAAGATCAAATATGAGGTGAAATAAATTTATTACCTTGCCTACTCGCTTGTATCACCATAGAACAAATTTAGCTGTTTTTACCTGGTCTTGAAAACTTTCAGTCTTTGTTAGTCATAAGAGTATGAAGTTTGAACTTTACTGGAATTTAACAGGTCCATGGGAAAGTGATTCCCATGTTTGGTGATACCTTTTGACCCTAGAATGTTTTTTCAAATTTCCTGAATTCCCAATAGAATGCTTATTTTATGTATTTGCTAAGACTAGTTGTAGTTGAACATAATTATTATCTTATGGTTCTACACTAATAGTTGGACTTCAATCGTTAAGAATATCAGTAAAACTGTAGAAAACTTGTATTGATGCTTTTCAATTAAAATCATTCTTATTCTTATTACCTATGAGATTTAGATATATGAAGTATTCAATAGGAATAAAACAGAATATTTACTGAAAGTGATGAGTAATTTTTTTTGTATAAATTTTGTGTTTACGTATGTTTAATGATGTTAAAGAAATTGCCCTAAATAAGAGTAAAAACGATTTCAAAATCCAAAATATGACTTCTGTTTTATTCACTAAATATGTTAATTATTGTCATGTTTTGTCATTCCCAGACTTTAAATATGGCATTGTTTTCCAAACCTGGCAATAATTGCTTCTATTTAGAGAATAAAAACACTGTACTCCTATTTTGTAATTCCAAAACCTTTTTACTCCTATTTCGGGAATTTTCCTTTAATGTTATTGCTTGTGTGATTTCACTTTGAAAATTGTATGTGATTTTTTATGACCATATCTATTTAACTTTAAGCTATGAGTTGAGTTTGTATTGATAATTGTTTTGATTTTCAATTTATAATAACTATTACAGAGCAATATATTATTTTGTAAAATCTTATGATTTATGTTTCTAGTTTCGACCTGACGATCACTTTTCATTTCATAAATATAATTTTAACATCCTTGAGAAAACCTCAGAAGTCTATAGTTTAAAAAAAAAATTAAAGGTTTTGATTGTATCCGATTCTTATTTGTATCTTCCATGGCAAAATCAAACAAAAAAACCCATCTCCCTTACGCCCCCTTGCTTACCATTATCCACGTTCAAGAAGGATCCCTACACTTTCCCTGTGATCACTTTTCTTGGAATTTAATTGAAAGGAAAGTTATACGATATCAGTTGGTGATTTATGGCTGCTTTGTGCTTATGTATTTATTTATTTAGGGTCCTTCTAGCAAGAACCCCCTGTCGTTTAAATGGTACAATGCTAACGAGGAGATTCTGGGGAAAAAGATGAAGGTCTGTCAACTATGATCACTTTTTGTGTGTTATTTTAGGTGTTTGAAGTCATATCTTGAATTATTTTTTGTTTTGCTTTGTTTTGTTTTGTTTATGTAGGATTGGTTTAGATTTAGTATCGCCTTTTGGCACACTTTCCGTGGAACTGGTGGTGATCCGTTTGGCTCGGCTACAAAATTTTGGCCATGGGAAGATGGCACTAATTCCCTTGCCATGGCAAAGAGGAGGAGTAAGAATTAAGCAATGGCATTTAACCAAGGCTCTATTTGGTTGAGGGAAAATAATTTGTTTGTTTCTCGGTTTCAAAATGTTTTATCGAAAAACAAGTTGCTTTATATGTAGTATAAATGTATAATTGATGTAGAACCTACACAAATAGAAGCAAAACTGTTTCACACTAAACAATAGGTCATTTCCAATGAATCAAGAACATGTTTTCAGCTGCCAATCACATGAAATTGTTCCCCAAGAAAGTCCATAAAACATTTTCATAAGAAAATATATTTCCCTGTAATTAAATGAAATGTTGGATTATCTTTTCGTTGATAGTGATAAATTAACTAGATGTCTCTATTCAAATGGTTGACTACATCCAGTGAGAGCTAACTTTGAGTTCCTAGAAAAGATTGGAGTGGATAAGTGGTGCTTTCATGATAGAGACATTGCTCCAGATGGTGAAACACTTGAGGTGAGCACTGCAAGTATTGTCCTAGTTGTCATTATAATAGTTCTTTGTTAGGATGTTTGATATAACTCGTTTGATTTTATAATTATTATTACATGACTGACAATATAACATTACAATTCACAGGAGTCAAATGCAAATTTGGATGAAGTGGTTGCCCTTGCTAAAGAGCTTCAGGTAGTTTATGAAAATCACTCGATATATCACTTAAAATTTCACTGGAAACAGTGCTTTTTTAAAATTTTCAATGTCGAAAAAAAAATGAAACTTTGAAACTTTATTGAAATTAGGAACTTCATGCTTCCATTGTTTGAAAACATGTTTCGGATCTCGACACTATTTATTCAATACTGGGTTTTTTTCTGCTGATAACATAACATGTTTAACAAAGCATACACGCCATACATATATCTATACCAAACTAACCAAACATGCTTTATATTTTAGAAATTTGAAAACAAAACAATTTTTTTTATTAAAATAAAACCTATCCAATAACAAATCTTTATTTATTATTTTACTCCAATGTCCTCCAAAGGCGTCGCTTTTCAAGTAAGCCAAAACATGTAATATTTACGGAGTACTATTTATGATATGTGAAAAAATATTCACCACACCATATCATTCATGGAAAGAAGCCGTTGGAGAATAATACGTAGCAGATTCATACATTTGATTATTCTTGCTGTTTTATTCTATTTTATTCAATAAGTTATGCACAAGTATATGCATATTCTCTCCTATTACATCATTTCCTCTAGTATAACTCAAGTGTCTCGAAACTTCATAGGGTTCGAAGATCCGACCTTTGTGGGGTACTGCTCAGTTGTTTGTGCATCCACGATATATGCATGGTGCTGCAACTAGGTTTGTTAAGCCTTGTTTGATCTTATAATCTGACTGTCGTGTATTATTTTAAGAATTTCAGTCTTAATGTTTCTGGTTTCTAAATGTGCAGTTCTGAATTAGGAGTATATGCATATGCTGCAGCCCAAGTCAAGAAAGCTATGGAGGTTTTACTGCCACTCCCCGTCTTCCCGTATTAGTATATAATGTAATTAATCAAGATGTTATGTATGATTGTGTAAGATTTACTCTATGTGAATTTCAGGTTACACATTATCTTGGTGGTGAGAACTATGTATTTTGGGGTGGTCGAGAGGGTTATCAGAGTCTTTTGAACACAGATATGCAAAGAGAGCTAAATCACTTGGTAGGCCAAGCAATTAAATTTGGAAGTTGCATCCAACTTTTCCCTTTATCTGTCCCATATAAATATAAAGAGCCACCTTTGAAAAGTTCTTTTTTACATAAGAGTTGCTCCAAAATTTCTATTTTCCCTATAAAGGGCCCAAATGAGGATAACTTTTCATTTAATATTCCAAAACGGAGTAGGAAACAAGCATACTATGATACTTTATTACTTGAAGGGGAGCCCTGGTGCACCGGTTAATTTGTGTGATGGAGAAGTCACAAGTCTTGTCAAAATGACAAGGGAAGACTTGCTCCTTATACACTCTTGTGGTGAGACCCTTCCATAGATCCTCTCCTTGCGGGGTTGCAAATGTGCACCGGGCTGACCCTACGATTTATCACTTATAAAAAGTTGTACCTTTGTCAAACATAAACTCCTTTTATGAATGCTTTTTAAGAAATCGCTGATAAGAACTCCAAATATCCAGAAATTACAGAAATTAATATCAATGAACAAGGTAATCTTTATTGAAGAAGATGAACAGTAATTTGTACAAAGGCCAAAGCCCCCAAAGCCGAAGCCCCAAAAGATAGAGATGTTTAGTCTCCGATCTTTCCCAGTCCCAAGACTAATCGTCTAAAAGCCTACTTACTACTTCCCCTTCCCATCTATTTATACTAGAGACCCTTATTACTAATATTATTATTATTATTATTATTACTTCTAATATTATTCTAATAAGTAGGTCCCTATCAATCGCCCTAATTATGTTTGTATTCCGTAAATAGGAGTAATTACCGCCATGCGTTGAAAATAGTGTAAATTATGGCATGCCATATTTAAAGCCTTGTAATGCCAAAATATTATAGTAAATTTGTAGTCAGTAACCTACTCCTATTTAGGTGGGGGGTATTGTACTCCTATTTAAGAATTTTACATTGTTTTGTCTCATATTTAGGGAATTTTCTATTGTTTTATTAATTGAGCATTAATTAATGGCTTTATGAATCATTATTTATTCCATCTGTGCTAAAACTTTGTGGAAGGCTAGGTTCATGGTAGCATCAGTTTCTTATAAGAAAAAGATTTGATTTAATGGTATTTCCGCTCCCTTTTGACAGGCTATGTTCATGGAAGCAGCAGTTTCTTATAAGAAAAAGATTGGATTTAATGGTATTTTCGCTCCCTTAAATATCTGCTCATTGTAATAATTATAATAAAAATAGTAATAATAATAACAACAATAATAGTTTAGCTGCGGTTTACCATGAATTGGGCTTCATTACCCTTACCTTTTTTGTTATTTCATTGCAGGAACATTGTTCATTGAGCCTAAGCCTCAGGAACCTACAAAACATCAGTATGTGTGGATCTAAGACTCCTAAATGTGTGAGTTCTGAGTGGGTATCTTTCCTAAGTTATAAATATATGGTGATCCTCACAGGTATGACTGGGATGCTGCTACTGCTGCTAATTTCTTACGAAAATATGGCCTTATAGGTACCTGATCTACCCATCTACCTACCTTCCTACCTATCTTGTCGTTGCTGTTGTTCTCAATGTTCTATTTATTTAAATAAAGATGTCGACTCTTGTTTTTGTTTCAAGATAGAAGCTTATAAGGTACCTCATAAATGCGGTAGCATTTATGAAAATGCCGTGATCTAGAAAATGGCTTTCATCTGCACCAGCACTCACTTGAGCCCATGCTTAATACTCTATCAGACTGATAGATAGGATGAGTTACACAATTTGTTATTTAATGTTGTTCTTTGGGTGGGATGGGTTCAGATGAGTTCAAACTAAATATCGAATGCAACCACGCCACTTTGTCTGGACACAGGTATGTTTGTGCCTGCTATCTTTACTTAATCGTGTGCACTGATTTTTACAAGCTTCTTGATCCTCCTCTGCCTTTTGATCACCAGTCATATACTCATATTTTGTTATTGTTGTTGTGGTGTGTGCCTATCAGTTGTCATCATGAAGTTGAGACAGCAAGAATTAATGGGTTGCTTGGAAATATTGATGCAAACAGTGGTGATCCACAAACTGGTGATCCTGGACCAACCAACACTCTCTCTATGCTCCCCTCTGGTATTTTTGCCACTCTTTCCTTGCTTCCTTAGTAACTTTTTACGGCATTTGCATTGCAGGTTGGGACACCGACCAGTTTCTGATGAATGTGCCAGAAGCAACCCTGATTATGCTCTCAGTTATCAAGAATGTATGATATCTGAAATTTGTAATGCATCATGTGTTTCCTGTTGCCTTTTATTTATTTATTTATTTATTTTGCACAAACCTCAGGGGGGCATAGCACCGGGAGGATTCAACTTCGATGCTAAATTGTTAGTTCCACTATTTCCCTTTATAATGAATGTTGTATTAGTTTTCCTATGTTATTCTTTCTTCTAAAGTCACAGCTTTACTATATATATGAATGAAGAGCATCAGAAGTTTCTATTTTGCTGTGGGTTTGTATGTGTGATAGGCGAAGGGAGAGCACCGATGTAGAAGATTTATTCATTGCTCATATTGCGGGTATGGATACCCTGGCTCGTGGCCTCCGAAGTGCTGCAAAGCTGATTCAGGTAAGATCACCATGTGGCAGCCCTTCTGCCTCCGAATGTGCTTTATCAAATTATCATCATCATCATCATCATCATTAAAAGTCTCCAAATTGTATTAAGAACAGGATGGTTCTCTGAATGAACTTGTTCGCAAGAGATACCAGAGTTTTGATACTGAGGTTGGTCAAGCCATTGAGGTACTCTTGTATAGCCTTAATCCTTGTATCCAAGTTTTCTAGTTTATATTATCCCACTCATGTGGTCAATTTACATACAAGTGACCTGAAAGGACCACAGGTGGCAAGAAATCCCCTTAGTTGGGGACCAAAGTTTGGAATGACCAAATAGTTATGGGATTTCAAAAAGAAATTTGTTATCTTCTGCCCTTGTAATGCAAATTGCATTTTTGTTTTGGGCTTTGATTTTTATAGGCTGGAAAGGCTGATTTTGAAATGCTGGAGAAGAAAGCTTTTGAATGGGGTGAACCAAAAGTTGTTTCTGCTAAACAGGTAAAGATGATAATTACGCTCATCAGTTTTTCCTTACCGACACTTGAGGAATGACAACCTGATTGGGTGAGGGTGAGGGTGATCCTATTTATTTACTCTGTATATTATTACACGAATGAACGAACGAACCTACTTTGCAGGAACTTGCGGAGATGATTCTCCAAAGCGCACTGTAATCGTCTGAAGATCGAAGACAAATTGTGTACACCAAGTAGTTGAGAAAATTACTTTTTTTTAGCTTTTAACAGTAATGATGAAGTTATTTCATTTGTTTATATATGACAATTAGCCAGCTATGGTTGACCGTGTTTATGATATGATGAGTAAATAAAATTCCATAAACTGTCTTGTGTTGGAACTATCTTAAATGAGAATTCTTTAATGGAAAAAGTGTCAAATTAGTCCACCTACTATTACGAAAATGTCAATTAAGTTCACGAACTCAAATAACACTCAATTAAACCCACGAACTCAAATAACACTCAATTAAACCCACGAACAATGAAAAATGAGTCAAATTGTCTTTTTTACCGGTAACCTCCTGATATGCGGTTAATTAAATGCGTTTGTGGCATCCGGTTAATTAAAATGCCTTTGTGGCGTCTGACGTGGCATATTTTTCATTTTATTTTCTTTTTCTTTTTTCCCTTTCTTTCCGTGCTCCCTTCTTCCCTGTGCCTTCTTCCCCGGCTGAACTATTCCCCTTTTTAATCTCTGTCCCGTCCCTTTTCTTTCTTGGGCTTATGACCTCTATTACTAAATAATTAGTGGTTGACAAAAAAGTGACTATTTTGTAAAAGGACAAAAATGTGACTAGGAAGGTCATATAATTGGAAAAACTTTAGATTACTGTAGAATTTTTATGTCACTGCAAAATTTTTATGTCACTGCTAAATTTTTATGTCACTATCATATGTCATTATCTGATTTTTATGTCACTTAAATGTCACTACCGATTATTATGTCACTATCGATTATCATGTCACTTTCAAAATTTCCGACGACTTTTTTCAGTGAAAATGTGATGCAACCTCCACCATAGTTTCCGCACAGGAAACCACCGCTACGCCGTTGAGCCACCACGACAGTCACCCTCCATAACCCCTATCATGTCCAGCTAATGGTGACAGCAAAAAACACCAATACATCCCACCATCTACTGTCGCTGCCACACCAACTCCGATCGCTGTCGTAATATTCCGGCCGCCACCATCTGCCCCCTGGCTTACCGCCGCCATCTATAGCTCATAGCCTAACCTCCTCAGCCCCCAAACCGCCATCCCCAGTCCTAAACCGCCCTCCCCATCCCCTAGCCCCCACCCCCAGTCCCTGCCTACCTTACCATGTCCCAAATGTTGTCCCAAGCTGTCGCAATACCCCCAACCTAGCCATCCCCAGTCTTAAACCGCCCTCCCCAGCCCCTAGCCCCCATCCCCAGTCCCTGCCTACCTTACCATGTCCCAAATGTTGTCCCAAGCTGTCGCAATACCCCCAACCTAGCCTCCTCCTCCTCCTCCTCCTCCTCGGCCGTTTGAATGACGATAGCAATGGTCCCTGCTCCACTGGCAAAGGCCGAAGGGATAGCAATGGTCACCCGACGGCGTTCCTTCTCCTCCTCTTCCTCGGCCGTTTGAACGACGATGGTCAGTTCCTCGTCCTCAATAACCTGTTCAAAATCCTCAGCATCGACTTCGGCCCTGAGATCCTTTTGCACCTCCAGCGCCACGGCCGAGTCATTATCAGGCTTATCCTGGTCACTTAGGGATTTCTCTTCCGACCATGTCTCAGACTGAACCGAGGGCTCTCTGGAAATATCTCGCGAGTCGCTAGTAGACGACATCCTTCGGGACTATTGAAGAATGGAGTTGAAGGAAGGAAGTAGGGTTCTAAGGGACTAACACAAGATCTAAAGCTTACGAAGCAAAATATGCAAGAATTACTAGGAACGGAGGAAGAACTGACCTCAGGAGTAAGGGTTTGATCGAATTGGGCTTTATCTCTCTAAAAAATTTGACAGAGCTTCGCTTCAGTTATGATCGCACAGAGCAAATGAGTTCAAGGCAGAGGTATTTATAGCCCCCCAACCGCGGTTAAGGCCCGAGTTTGGGCCTCGGGTTAAAAGCCCATCATTACGAACCGTCGCATCACCCAACCGGTGACGCGCGCCCGAAGCGAGCCAACCAGGACACGCCACGTGGACACCTTCTCCAACGGTTATATCCCAACGGTCACATTTCGTCGGCTACCCCCTCAGATCATAAGCGGCCTTCGACTCTCAATGTTGCCGCCCTCAGATCACAAACAGCCTTTGACCTCTTAGTGTCCCGCCTTCAGATCACAAGCGGCCTTCAACTCTCAGCGTTGCCCCCCTCAGATCACGAATGGCCCCTCGGCCTCAGCGTGATCCTTCATCTCAGGCCGAAGGATTCACCCTCTTGCTTCATTTTGAGGGCATCCGGTGTACTCTTTTTCCCTTATTAGGATTTTTTCCCACAAGGTTTTTTCCTAGTGAGGCTTTTAATGATGCATCTCCCCATTGTGAACCAAAAGGCGTCAACCCTCGGCTCTCTATTAAAGACATGCATTACTCTACTCCTTTTCACCCCATTACATGACCCTCAAGGAGTGGGGGACTAAGGAACCCTTCAGGAAATCACAAAAAGTTAAAAGTTTTCTCAAGGCATCACCAAAGACCTTCAGTCTCAAAATGTGGGGGACTGGGGGACTCCCTTCGGCAAAACACGCAAACACAAAACTTTCACTACTCAACAACATCATGGCAGCCACCGCGATTTCACTACAATTACTCCTATTCCCTCAATAATCTCTCGACAAAAGGAGTGGGGGACTCCTGATGGAGTATATGACACAGGAACCCCCGACCCACATACTTCCGCTACAACAATCAGGCCCAACAGGTCCAAGTGGCCCAAACCCAGCAAACAAGGCTCCAGGCAGCCCATACTGCGCAAGGTGTTCCTTCGGCCCCACATGCCGAAGGCTTTATACTCAGAAAACCTGGTCCAGAAACATCATTGGATAATAGGGCTTGAAATACGAGCCTTCGGTACAGACAACCTTCAGGAGCCTGGTTGACCCCCGGTATGTAGAGCCTTTGGCGCATAGAGGCCCCGGTAGGTACAACCGAAGGCTCCCTTTTCGACAGGATCTCCTCTCCACATGCGCTGAATCACCGCGTCAAGTACAACGTCACACCCAAACCACCTCATTGAATGCGGCCACACACTATGTCGGCGCCACCTTGGCTGATTTGACCCCCCATCCGTTGGCTGCTTGACACGTGTCCCTTCGTTTATTGCCCCTATCATTTATGGCTACTATAAATAGCGGCTGTTTTCCATTGTAATAAAAACAACACAACACATATATCGAATACACCCCCTCTTTCTTACTTGCTCTGACTTTTCTCTAAGTTATTCACCGTAATAATCCTTCGGATAAGCTACCCCAGATACACTATCCATCAATAATAATTTTAATAATAATATTAAATAATTTTTTTGATGTGAACTAATTGTTTCCGATCAGATCTCAATGTTTTTGATTTGAAGAGATTTGAATCTTCTTTTATATAAATAAAATCAAATAAGAATAATAACCGTCCTTCCCTCACTCAACACAATATCCGCTGTGGTTGTGAGAATGCCCTCGACAGAAACCGATCTCGATCTCCGAGTATACTCTCGTACCTCTTCAGGAAACTTGCTAATGCCGAATCTTACGAATTTTACCCGTTTCACTGTGTTTTTTCTTCGTTGCAGCGTTCATCTCTGCAGCCAAGCAATCTTGGCGGTGCTATCAGGTAGAGTGCACACACGACGCCTGCATCAGTGCATTGTGTTTCTTCTCGCGGGTTGATAGGGCTTTGTAATCTGCAAAGTATTATTGGAGTTATCCACTACAATTTGATGAGCAGACTGTGCTTTCTTAGTTAACTCGACATTTTAACTCAATTTTTCAGTAACGAGTACAGTTTTGCTGACGTTAATAACCTGGAGCACTGTGCCAAGTACCTCAACCAAACACTCGTCACATTTGGATTCCCTGCCTCGCTTGATCTCTTTGCCAATGACCCAGTAAGCAATGCCCATTTTTTATTTTATGTATGCAGCATGTTCTCATGGTTATGCTTGCTGTGTGTATGTGTGGGTGAGGTATATATATATATATATATAGAGAGAGAGATTCCTGTCCGGAATTCTGAACAGGAACCCGCCTTCTCGATGCCGTTTGGACTTTTTGATGAAATTTTTATGCAATGTTCTTCATCAAGTCTAGTTATCCAGAAAAAAATTCAGCTAAAAATTCAATCGGGAAGATCATCAAATGATTTTTGAAAGATAATTGCGCCGGAATATACATATAAAACGCAGTTATCTTTCAAAAATCATTTGACGACCTTCCCGATTGACTTTTTGTTGAAATTTGGTATAGATGAACTAGACTTATGAATAACATACTCAAAAAATTTCAGCAAAAAATACCACCGGAAAACACCCCAAATTGAGGTGGTGAGACAGGAATATTTGTATGTATATATATATATATGTGTGTGTGTGTGTGTGTATATATATTATATATTTGAAGAATGATCCTGTCCAGCCGTAGGGACAGGACCCTTCGGCCGACGTCGTTTGGGGCGGTTCCTGGTGGAACTTTTTGATGATTTTTTTTTGAGCATGTTCTTCATCAAGTCTAGTTTATCCACAAAAAAAATTCGATCGGGAAGACAATTAAATAATTTTTTAATGGGGAAAAGTGTCAAATAAGTGCTCGTACTATTGCAAAAATGTCAATTAGGTCCATCAACTCAATTAACACTCAATTAAATCAATGAACTTTAAAAAATCGTTCAAATCAGTCCTTTACTAGGAAAACAACAGGTTATCAGGTAGATGATGACACATGGCGCCACGTGGCGCCACGTGGCTTATTATTTTCATTTCCCTTTTCATTCTTCCTTCTTCCTTCTTCCTTCCTCTTTCTCCCTGTTCACTCCGTTCGCCCAGCTTGTTTCTCCATGCCTCTTTCCCCTTCATTTTCCCTTTCTTTTGTTCTTACGTCGCTTTTTCTTTATATTACAACCCCAAAATCTCATGTTTCTCAATTCTCAATTTTACGTGATTTTTGGATTTTGACATGCTCATCCAATCCATGAATACACAAGAAAATAAGAACAATAAATTAAAATAACAAATTCATGGGATTGGATGAAGAAGACCGACACTGTATGAAATGTGAAGACGACCGGAACTCGGACCAAATTTTCCTTCTTCGCCGGAGTTTGGTCGAGGAAGACGACCGGCCGACGCTTAGATAGATCTCTGACGAACCAAAAAACAGCGGCAATGACATCCAGGCAGCGGAATTGAGGTTGGGGAAGATGACTGGCGATTGGATCCAGGTGGCCAGACCCATGATTGTAAAACAAAGAGAGAGAAAGGGTGGGGGGAGAATTGAAGGCGCGAGAGGAGTGAACCGGGGGAAGAAAAGGGGATGGGGAAGAAAGAAAAGGAAAGAAAGAGAAAATGGGGGCAAAATTAAAAAGGAAAATTAAAAGCCACGTAGGGGTGCCACACACACATTTTAACCGGCTACCGGATATTAACCGGGTAAAACCATGATTTGATCCGTTTTTTGTGTTTCATGGGTTTAATTGGATGATTTTTGTGTTGGTGGGCTTAATTGACATTTTCTCATGAGTAAGGGGGCCTATTTGACACTTTTCTCTTTTTAATGATAACTGCGCAAATTCGATCGGGAAGGCAGTTAAGGTGGCTATGAGAAAAATGGGGCGGAAGAAAGCAGTGGGTCCAGATGGCATACCGATCGAGGTTTGGAGAAGTTTGGGAGAGAAAGACATCGAGTGGCTAACACATTTCTTCAACATGATTTGGAGAAACAACAAAATGCCAGTGAGTTGGCGGAAGAGTACTCTCATTCCCTTATTTAAAAATAAGGGTGATGTACAAGAATGTGCTAACTATCGAGGGATTAAGCTTATGAGTCACACCATGAAACTTTGGGAGCGAGTGGTTGAGCAAAGACTTCGTAAAAGTGTGAAAATTTCGGAGAATCAATTTAGTTTTATGCCTGGACGCTCAACAACTGATGCCATTCACCTTCTTAGACAAGTTATGGAGAAGTATAGAGACACTAAAAAGGATCTGCTTTGGTGTTCATTGACTTAGAAAAGGCATATGATAGGGTATCTTGAGAAGTCCTGTGGTAGGCCTTAGCTAGACAAGGCATATCATGTAAGTATATCAGTATCATCATGGATATGTATAATGCTTGTACTACAAGTGTCCGCACTAGTGTAGGGAGGACCGCAGAGTTCCTTATTACTATCAGAGTGTACCAAAGATCTGCTCTGAGTCCCTTCTTATTTGCCATAGTCATGGATGAACTTACGAAGTCAATCCAAGAAGATATACCGTGGTGCATGATGTTTGCTGACGATATTGTATTGATTGATGAGACACAATCCGGTGTTAAAGCAAAATTGGAAGTATGACGACAAACATTGGAGACCAAGGGTTTCAGACTGAGTCGAAGCAAGACTGAGTATATGGAGTGCAAGTTTGGTGGAGGTAGAAGTAGTAACAACAGTGGGATTACTCTTGATGGTAAGGAGAAACCGGTGTGTGATATGTTCCGTTAGTTGGGTTCCATAATTCAGAAAGATGGTGAATTAGATGGAGATGTATGCCATAGAATCAGAGCTGGGTGGATGAAATGGAAGAGTGTTTCAGGATTTCTATGCGATCGAGGTATGCCGACTAGACTAAAGGGTAAATTTATCGAATAACAATTAGGCTTGCTTTAATGTATGACGTAGAGTGTTGGGCGGTGAAGCAATGCCACATTCAAAAGATGAGTGTGACAGAGATGCGTATGTTGCGTTGGATGTGTGGGCATACTAGAAAAGACCGTTTGAGGAATGAGATAATTAGACAAAAGGTGGGAGTAGCACCTATAGAAGATAAGATGCAGGAGTCTCGTTTGCGGTGGTTTGAGCATGTGCGTAGAAGACCGAGTGATGCACCTGTTAGACGACTTGAAGGGTGGGGAGAAGAGACAGAGAAATGAGGGAGGGAAAGACCCAAACAGACTTGGATTAGAGGAATCAGAACTGATATGCGTCTTTTTGGGTTGGATGAGAGTATGACTTTGGAGATAGCAAAGTGGAGGTCGCACATCCGTGTGTACGTTTGATGTCTTTTCTACCTTTCCTCTCTTTTTTCTTTTATCGTTTATCATCTTTATCTTTGTGTATTCTTATGTTATTTTTATATTCTAGCTTTTTATGCTCTTTTTTTATCTTTTATCTTTCTTATATTCTAGTGTTATTGTTATCTTATATTTATTTATCTTTATTTTATTCGTTTTATCTAACTTTTTTTTCCCTTTCTTGTCCGTCTTCTCTGTTTGGCATCGATATCATTGATCGATTCATGTTAGCCGACCCCAAATTCTTTTGGGATTAAGGCTTGGATGTTGTTGTTGTAACTGTGCAAAATTATACATATATACTGCAATTATATTCAAAATATTATTTGACTGCCTTCCTGATCAAATTTTTAGCTGAAATGTTTTGTGGATAAACTGGACTTGTTGAGGAACATGCTCAAAAAATTTTGTAAGCATGTTCTTCATGAAGTGTAGAACATATATTCAAAATTTTACAAAAAAATTCAATCGGGAAGTCATTTAAATAACTTGTTGAAAAACACTTTGTTTTCTATGCATACTTTTGCGCAGTGTTTTTCAAAAATTTATTTAACTGACTTACTGATTGAATTTTTTGATGAAGTTTTGTGTGAATGTTCTACACTTCATGAAGAACATGCTCACAAAATTTGATAAAAATGTTTGACCCGAAAGGTTCTAAAATAGGCTTGGCCGCACGGCGGTTCTGGTCGGTGCGGACTGACTAGAATATTACTATCTCTCTATAGGGAGCGAATCACGCGAGAAGTGTATATGAGACAGAAAACTGCGAATTAGTTTAAATCTTGTACAAATTATATATTTTGCTTTATAAGTTCAGTTTAACAAGTTAATATTTAATAAGGACATATATGTCTTGGTAAATAAGTAAATACTTTTTTTGTAAATATTTTCAACTGTTACTAGTGTTTTCCATTGTAGTCTCATACTTTCTCAATTTATCAGTATAAACTATACTTTTGATTTAGGGTTGTTGGATTTATAAGTTATGATTTGTGTTTTTATATGTTACGTTATCGTATCTATTAGTTAAAATTCACAGTTTTCAGCATAAGTCATACTTCTCACGTGATCTGTTCTGTATATATATTTGGTCAACCACCAAAATCAGTGGGGTAAGAGGGACTGAGCGTCCCTTACAGGGTTTTATTAGAGAAATAGGAATCAAAATACAATAAAAGGGGACATACCGCCTTACCCCTAAACTTAAATAAAAATTACATGGAGGAAACAATATGAGGTACTCCTAACTTATCAAGCTTAATGGAGCTCTGGATCAATCTGGGAAGATCTTCAAGCTTGTAGATGCACCATATAGACATTGTACTATGCATTTAAACATTGTACTATGCCTATGTGCAATTTGTGACAATTTATGATGCAACTTTACTGTTCATGTGCCGATTCCAAAATATAGAGCTTGTTTACTAGGGCGTTATAGCTGCTTTTGATCTCTAGCCGTGAATAACCTTTTCCGTGAGTATTTAACATTGTCGTTAACATTCCCGGATTAGCCTCTACCATCTTACCCTCATAATGTGATGCACTTTAAGGGTGGTCTGATGCACTTTTTGATTTTTGGTCGAGTCATGCCAAATGAAAAAAATGCGGTGACATTTTGGTAATACATAAGTCAAACTTTTATGTCAATGCGAAAAGAGAACAATTTGCAGTTTTCACGAAAGCTAACAATACATAATATCATACTCCCTCCGTCCCATAAAATAAGTCCCATTTTATTTTTTGGGTCGTCCCAAAAAATTGTTCCCATTTCCCTTTTTGGAAAGTTTTGTGTGGCTAACATTCATTTACCTTTTTCTTACTCAACCACAACCATACATTTCCACTTTATTCTCACTTTCTTAAACTCCGATCCAAATTGAAATGAGACTTATTTTATGGGACGGAGGAAGTAGTAGTTTGATTAGGAAGCTAACAATACATAATATATCATATGATAATAAGGGTCCTAAAAGGCGATAAACGCTAGTTGTTGGACACCTAGGGTGCCAACCGTAATTACCGAACCAAAACCTAACCAAAACCGATTCAATGTGTGCGGTTCGGTTCTCGGTTTCACCTTTTCTAAAAATGAACTGATAAAATCATAACAGATAAAACTGGAACTTACGAAACCAAATCGAGGAACACCCCTAATGGTAATGGCAAACTAACTCAAAATGAAATAAGAAATAACAATAGCAGTTTAATTAGGAAGCTAACAATACATAATATATCTATGATAATAAGGGTCCTAAAAGGCGCTAGGCGCTAGTTGGGTGGTTGCTGTACATCTAGGGTGGCTAGGTTTCCCTCTTTTTTTTCATTTTATTTTTATTTCCTATGAGTGTTAGTGTTATTTATTAATGACTATATAATATTTTGACAATAGAAATAGCTCATATAATTATTAAGCGTTATGTTTTTGTAGTAAAATTATAAATAATATAATAAATAATAGAAAGTTTTAAATAAAATACGAAGTTTTTGTTTATTAATCTCTAAAAGAATTTATATACATTTAAATCTTATTTTTTTTGTAGTAATATTTCATTAAGTTTAATTGGAAAAAATATTATTGATCAAACAATGTTTTTAGGATGAAGCAGAGAAAATAAGTTGGATTGTGAAAAAACTCATTCCAAGGTCACCTAGGCGCTCAAACAAGTTTTTTCTAAGCGATGAAGTTGAAATCGGGGTGTTGTGTCACCGCCTAACGCTAGGGGGGCGCCTAAGCCGATTTTTAGAACCTTGATTACAATAACAATAACCTTGTTGCCCAAGTTTAGTCACTTTCATTCTACTACTGTTCTACTTGTTCTGGCTTTGCTTATTGGACCCAACTGGTGTCGCTGATAGGGATTATCCCAGAATGCATCCATATAGGAAACCAAGTAGATTTTAGCATTATGGGAAGGCTCAAGCTGAGGACACTATGTGGTAAGACATGCCAACGATGCAATAGAACAAGAGACACAATGCTTACCCATAAAACATTCAACAGTGTGGACTATAATAATCATTATTGCCTTTTTAATTTGTGTAAGCTTGTTTCAATAATGGCTTAGTAGTTGGGTTTAATTTGAAAAGTGCTTCGGGCACATGTTAGCAATTAAGGATCATGGATCCACTTTCCTAGTTTTTAGGATTGGTTGAAACTTCCCATAAGAGAAAGATGAATTGAATAAAACTAATCAAAGAATTGCCCAATTGTTTAAGTTTAGCCTGGGTGTTCCGAGAACTCAAAAACATCTCTTATTACCATTATTATTAATCTTATTATTTGAGATATATATCCTGTCTTTCTCTTATTAAATTATAATTATTTCTCTTCTTCACACCGTCTTGTGACACGATCTCAAACCCAGGCCTCTAACAAGTGCTTAATTGCTTTCGAAGAGTGAGTGTTTCATTTGTAAAATCATGTATCTTAGTAAAATTCCAAATGAAAAGTATAATATTACTAGTAAATTTGTCAATTACAAGTGAGTCTTTTTAAATGTTGTTGGAGACCAGGATGGCCTAACGAATGGGAAGAGTTTGTGATTGAAGCCTTAATTTTTCAAATTGATGTTTCTTAGCCAAGTTTCCAATTCTTTGGAATCAATATTATTCTTTATCTATACACCCACCCACCCAAAACCATTTCTTTCTACTATAACTAAGGGTCTAAATTTTCAGATTTCAATCGCAAGGACATGCAATTGTGTATATGCTTTGTTGCAGCAGAGACAAAGGGATATATCATTTAGGGAGTCTGCAAATGAGCAGCGACAGAGGTAATGCATAATTTTTTATTTGCTTCCATGATGTTGTTAAGTTTGGCATCAATGTGTCATGGTGTCAGTTGTTCTTCCTTGTAGCTTATGAATTGCTCAAAGCTGTCAAGATTTAGTCTTATAACATTGTTTGCGTTATAGTTAAACCATTGGATATCATATATTCAAATCCTTGGCCATTGTGGTTCATGCTTTCTTTTCTTTGCCTGTAATTAACATCATGAATGATCGGTGGTTAAACTTTCACTGATCATGGAATGCGTGATGTGTAATTGTATTACTAGAATGTATGAATGCATATATCTCCTTTCCAATGGGTTCATAGTTATGTTTTTTGAAATTCATGTTTTCAGATGCTCTATGTGACACACCAATGATTTTTTAGTGCTGGGAGTTTACTTGCAATGTGGCTTTATTTTTGAAATGAGCAACTATTAGGAAAACTGTACTTGATGTTAAAGATATTTCATAAATTTCAATGTAGTATCTTACTTTTTCTTCCTGCAGACTTTTGTCAGACATATCCAGATTAGAGTCCAAAGGGGAGAGGCTGGACTTAGAGTTACAAGGCAAAGATAGAGAGATTGCAACGCTTACTCGAGAGGTAAGGATATAGCTTCCTTACACTTAATAGTTTTTTACTCTTTCTATATCAATTTGAACAATGTGATGATTGCATAGTATAATTATGTACAGAATGGTAAAGCTGTTGCAGCATTGAAGGCTCATATTGAGAAGCTGCAGAAGGAAAGAGATGAATTTCAAAAAATGGTTCTTGGTAATCAGGTTTGAATAGTTATTTATTTATTTATTTTAATTGCTATTCAGACATTGTGTCAATGCATGCCAGTTAAACTTTGACAATTTTTGTTACTTCTGCTTGTAGCAAGTAAGAACTCAACAGGTATATGAGATGAAGAAAAGGGAAAAGGAGTACATGAAGTTGCAGGTAGGATACTTGAATCGCTCTCAACTGCTCTATTTATCCTACTTATGCAGATCTAGTTTTAGAAACTAATTGAATAGGTATTGTATGAGACACTGTTTAACTAGTCAAAGAGTATCATTTTTATGTTTGCAGGAGAGGTTAAATCAAGTGGTGATGGAGAAAAAAAAGGAATCTAGATCAGGCATGGAAATAATGAACTTACTTCAGGTCCTAATGTCACTATCATTACAACTTTATTCTCTCCTCACCATATTCTTGCAGTTCATCAATTGAGTCGGTTTATGACACATATGTGTTCAATAGAAAGAAGGACGGCAGAGAGGCACATGGAATGCAAAGAAGGCTGATAATGACTTCTATAAGAAGATTGTAAGTGATAGAGTTAATTGTTACTCCCTCTGTTCCATAATGTTCTTCCCTTTTGCTTTTGCACAATTTTCTAAGCAGTGAAATTATGTTGTGATGTATTTGGAAAGATAGAATCAATGTTATCCACACAATTCTTTCGTTAAAAGTAAATGAGAAGCTCTTTGAGAATAACCCAAAAAGGGAAGCGGGAAGAACTTTTTGAAGCAAACTTACCGCACAACGGATTTTTTGAAAATAATGATGATATACTCATTTACACGATGACTATATCTGAGTCCACACTTTAAACAATTATTCCCCAAGTTATTGTTCCTTACCCTAGGCCTCTGCCCTCCACCAATACACTTTGTATACACCCGTCGGCACAAAGCATCAGATCACCCTTCACATGTGACACCTGTGATTACTTATCCTGACACTGGCCCAACCTCGATCTCATGTCCTGAACCAGTACATGGTCTTGACCTCTCGTTAGCACTACGTAAAGGTACACGGTCTTGTACTCATCCTATTTCTTCATTTGTGTCGTATAATCAGTTTTCCACTGCCTCATGTTCTTTTATTGCTTCCATTGATTCTATTTTTGTTCCCAAATCTGTTAAAGAAGCTCTGTCTCATCCTGAATGACGTCATGCCATGATAGAGGAAATGAATGCTTTGGACCTTAATGGTACTTGGGACTTGGTAGACTTGCCTATAGGGAAGAATTTTATTGGATGTATGTGGGTCTTTGCCGTTAAGGTTAACCCAGACAAACAGATCTGTTGCTCGGTTGAAAGCCCGATTAGTTGCGAATGGTTATGCTCAAACCTATGGTGTTAATTATTCTGACACTTTTTCTCCTATTGCTAAATTAACATCTTTCGGGTTACATATTTCCCTTGCCGCAGCTCATGATTAACACTTACATCAGTTAGACATTAAAAATGCATTCTTGCATGGTGACCTTCAAGAAGAAGCTTATATCAAGCAACCTTCGGGATTTGTTGCAGGGGGAGAGAGTATGGTAAAGTTTGTCAACTTCGCATGTCTCTTTATGGTCTGAAATAGAGTCCTCGTGCATGGTTTGGATAATTTAGTCAATCAATTGAATTGTTTAGAATGATAAAAGGCAAATCAGATCACTTTGTCTTTTACAGACGAACGAAAGCAGGTATCACATTGCTTGTGTTATATGTAGATGATATTGTGATTACATGAAGTGATAATGCATGTATTTTGACTCTTAAGAATTTTCTTCATAGCCATTTCTGGACAAAAGATCTAGGCTCATTGAAACACTTCTTGGTTATCAAGGTAACATGGAGTAAGAAAGTCATATTTCTATCTCAACGAAAATATGTACTTGATTTGCTTGCTGAAACATGGAAATTGAGACCAAAGCCGAGCAATACTCCCATGGTTCCCAACTTGCAACTCACTCAAGAAGGCATGTCGTTTGAAGACCTAGAAAGATATGGAAGATTGGTTGGAAAGCTTAATTATCTCGCAGTAACTCGCCCAAATATTGTTTACTCTCAGAGTGTAATGAGTCAATACATGTCATCTGCGACCATTGATCATTGGACTGCTGTAGAACACATATTATGTTACTTAAAGGGAGCATCGGGATGAGGTATTGTTTATAAAAACCATGACCACATGAGAATAGCTTTGCAGATGCCGACTAGGCCAGTTCCAAAGGTGATCGAAGATCTACATCTGGCTATTGCGTCTTTGTTGGTGGTAATTTTATATCCTGGAAGAGTAAGAAGCAGAATGTGTTTTCTCGTTCGATTGCTGAATCAGAAAATCGAGCCATGGCGCCATAAGCATGTGAGATCATATGGATAAGCCATTGATTTAGTGAATTCGGATTGAATACATCAATGCTGCTATACACAGCGAATAATCTGATCTTTCATGAGAGAACAAAACACGTTGAGGTTGATTGTCATTTTATTCGAGAGAAGGTACAAAAGGGATTAATTTCTACCGAATATGTGAAGACTGGAGAAAACTTGACGATTTATTCACGAAAACACTAAATGGGATTCAAGTTGATTATTTATGTAATAAGTTGGGCTTGATAAATATCTACGCTCCAACTTGAGGGGGAGTGTGAAATATATTAGAATGAATTTAGGAATATGCTTTGGAATATTTAGGAATATACTCTAGGATATTATTATGCTATAGAATCTTATAGGAATATTCTATCTTGTAATATATATTTATAGGGACTTCAACCATTCAATAGAAATACAGAAAATCCTTCGCTCTCCAATATTATTTCTTAGTTTATGTGCTCTATTTCAACACTTCCTTTGTTGCTCTTACTTCAACACAGGCTTTTGCTACCACCATCGAGAATCTTGATTGTGTCACAAAGAAACATGTTTCGACCAAGATTGCTCCACTGCACTGGACATTTAATCCCGTATGCAAACAATTATCCCTTGCTGACGCACATAATTGTGATGAACAATGGATCTGAGGCCAACATCGCTGCAATCGTTTGTTTTACATAGAAATTTTAGATCAGGAAGATTCACCCTATACACCATCTCCTTTGAGGGCAACTTAGACACAACCGCCATCAGATTTGATGTTGCAGCCCACATCTTTACCAACTCTGTTGTTGCAGGTAACCAAATCGTTGCCACTAGAAAAGTTGAAGCTTGAACCAGTAGCGCCCACACCTAAAACTCTATCTCAGTTTCCCTCATTGCCTCTACAGCTAACAGAAAAGTTGATGCTAAATCCTTTGCCAAATCTGGTAGTGCAGAGGTTGTTTGTAACTCCACTAGAGCAGCTCCACGATTCTCCGCTACACTTAACTCTCTGCGAGCATTTAAAGAATGTAGGCATTGGAGAAGTGAAGAGAAAAAAGTGTCATGATCTCCTAGGACTACATGTCAAGATCATCAGCTTCACATTATCAAACATGGTTGTTTGCTATGTCATTAAATCGCTGCTCGGTAGCAACTCGATCAAGGGCCGAGTAGTAAGTAGGACTGAGTATTCAGGATTACTTGGTGATTACTCAGCCCTATATTCAATCAATTTTAAAAATATAAATGTCCAAAATTATAGTAATATATAATTCTTATAATTATTAGAATCATGGTTTTCAAAGGCGTTTAGCCTTTACGCACCAGAGGCGCAAATGCGTTCTGTTAACTTTCCGGAACAAGGCTTACGCCCTTTGTTGATGAGGCGGCGCATCTGGCGTAAGGTGCAGGGCTTTCAAGAGGCGTACGCCTCTTTTTTTACGCAACTTTGGGCTTTTTTTTAATTAGTGGGGGCCTGGATTTATTATTTACATCCTAAAATACAAATTACCTGGATTGTTTATCACTTAGCCACAGCTCTAGGTCCTCATATCTTCCCAATTCCAATCTCCGGTCCACTTAATACTATGATAGCAACGAACAAGAAACGGGAAGTTGAAGACGAGCTGCGCAGGACCTCAGCGGAGTCAGCGGCTCAGCCTTCTGTCTCAGTTAACCTCTGTTGAACCTTCTGTCTGTTTATTTAACTTTTTAGTGTTTAATTAGTGTATTTGTGTCTGTTTTGAATTTAAATGATCATAAATATCTGTTTGTGTTTATGTATGAAATATGAATGTGTGATGTGTCAGACAAAGTTATTAATGAATTTATGAGCCTAGTGCTTAAACTTTGAAGTCATAATAATACAACTATCATTTACCTTACTAAATACTAATTTATTTGTTAAAAAATGAATACTACGTACTTTAGTAGTTTACTTCACTCAAGCTTTTATCAGTTTTATGTTCTTGTCTTAGAATTTTAATGTTTTATGTTCTTTGAATTGACTTTGGTATTTCAGTTTTAAGTTATTTTGAATTGAATATTTTATAGTTATGTACTTTTTACTTGTGATTTTGTTTAGCTACGCTATTGTTATGAATTATCTATACTTTCCAATATGCCATAGGTTTGTAGCAATACTTAACCAATTAAATTTCAGGGCTTACGCCTCGTCGACTCGAGGCTTACGCCTCGGAAGGCTACCCCCTTACGCCTTGAGGTCCGATTTCGCCTTTCAAAACCTTGATTAGAATGAATAAAATAATAATAATAATAATCCTAATGAAAAAGAAACGAGAAATAAGATAGAGAATAACTTATCGAGAGATGAGTAACCACTACTGGAATGATACAACCGATGTTTGAAATACCTTTAAACCTAGACTTTTTAAGGTTAATTTCCTTTTTTTATAATACTGATAGGTAATCAATTCCTGTCAACTGAATTTTATTAATGAAAAGGAATCCTGAGGAATTCTCAGAGCAATTCCGTAGAGATTACAGAGGAGGAAGTACGTAAAATGGAATGTAGAGGTAGAAGGGGATAGTTTCTCTCTCTAGCCAAGCCCAGCCAACCATAACAGAAAACCAGCCTAACTTTATTAGCCTTCCCGCCCCTATTTATATCTTCCAGTACCCATCACACAACTTTATTAACCCCCGTTCCTTTTTCCTTTCCTTATATACACCTTATTATAATACTCCACACCCCTTGACCCATCATTACCCTCCTCTTGAACTACCACCTTGTCCCTAAGGTGGAATGTTGAGAACTGCTTCTGAAACTTGGTCAACTCTTCCCAAGAATTATCAAAAGCTGGCAGTTGCTTCCACTGTACTAGCACTTCTTTAACTCCAATAGCTGTCGTCCTGTAATCAACCACCTTCTCTGACTGAACCTGGAGCTCCCACTCCTCTGAAATGCAAGTACAAAGAGGCTGGCAAGGCAGGTTAGGTGACACTGCCTTCTTGAGCAGTGAGATGTGAAACACCGGATGCACAGTACAACCCTCAGGTAGTTTCAGTTTGAAAGCTACTGGGTTTATTTTCTCCAACACTTCAAAAGGTCCATAGAACCTATGACTCAGTTTTTGATTTATCCGTTTAGCCAAACTCTTCATCTTGTAGGGTTGAATCTTCAAGAACACATTGTCCCCCACCTCCACTTGTACTAGCCTTCTATGCTTATCAGCTTGCTGTTTCATTCTATTATTGAGCCACAGCCAAACTAAGCTTCAATTCTTCCAACATAAGATTTCTCTCTGCAGTCAACTTGTTGACTTCCTCCACTAGTGTGACAGTTACACCCCCTTGATAATCGCGGGAGGATCTTGTCCATAAAGAGATTTGTATGGGGTATTCTTCAGTGCAATATGGTAATTGGTGTTATACCAATACCCAGCCCACGGAAGCCATTTAGGCCATTGTTTAGGTTTCATTCCAGTGACACACCTCAAATACTTCTCCAAGCACCTGTTTACCACCTCGGTTTGACCATCCGTTTGCGGATGGTAAGCTGTACTATATTTCAGTTTTGTGCCAGCCAACTCGAACATTTCAGACCAAAAAGAGCTCAAAAAGATCTTATCCCTGTCCGAGACTATGGATTTAGGAAATCCTGGAAGTCTTACCACTTCCCGTATGAAAGTTTCTGCCACATCTTTGGCTGTATAAGGATGGACAAGGGCTATAAAGTGGGCGTATTTAGTGAGTCTATCCACCACCACTAAAATAGTATCCTTTCCTTGAGCCCGAGGAAGGCCCGCAATAAAATCCATGCTGATTTCGGTCCATCTATGTTTTGGAATTGGCAAGGGTTGTAACAACACAGCAAGACTCAAGGTTTGATATTTGTTTCGTTGACATACTTCACATCCCCGCACATACTCCTGTATGTCAGTTCACATGCCAATCCTATAGAACAAAGCTGAAATCCTTTTCATAGTCTTGAAAGGCTTTGCATGTCCCCATAGTGCTGAATTATGGAACTCCCTCAGTATTATGGGTATCTTAGGGGACTGCCTCTGAAGCACCAACCTTTCTCTGTTATACAATAGTCCGTTTCTGAATTTGAACCCTGGTAAGCTGTCTGGTTTACCCAGTACTGTCTGAATGATATCATGATATTTGGGATCAGCCCTTATTTCTTCCTCCAATCCCTCCCATTCCTAGCGAGTGACAATGGATAAACTAAGCAATTCCCCTTTTCTGGACAAGGCATCTGCTGCCTTATTCTCACAGTCCGACTTATATTTAATAACGAAGTTGTACCCTAGCAGCTTGGTAACCCACTCCTGCTGTTCTTCTCCCATTACCCTTTGCTCAGTTAAAAACTTTAAACTTTTCTGCTCAGTATGCACTTCGAACACTCTGCCCAAAAGATAAGCCCTCCATTTCTGAATGGCCAATATTATGGTCATCAATTCGCGCTCATAGACAGATTTATTGTGATTTCTTTGGGATAGTACCTTACTCATGTAAGCAACTGACCTTCCCTCTTGCATTAGGACTGCCCCGAGTCCTGTTCCTGATGCATTAGCTTCTATCACAAAGGTCTTGCTGAAATCAGGAACCTTAAGCATTGGCAAAGTTGTCATAGCCTTCTTTAATTGTGCACATGCTTGGGACGCAGATGGATTCCATTTGAACCCGTCCTTCTTCAATAGATTAGTAAGGGGGGTTGCAATCTTACTACATCCTTTCACAAATCTCTGGTAATAGCCTGTTAGGCCCAGAAAACCCTTCAGTCCCTTCACATCTCTAGGTTCTGGCCACTCCAGCATGTCTTCTACCTTCCCTAGATCAACTGATACTCCCTCACCAGAAATCAAGTGACCCAAATAAGCCAGCTGATTCTGCCCTATCACATACTTTTTCTTGTTAGCATATAACTGATTATCCTTGAGTACTTGTAGGATTATCTTTAGATGTTCCTTGTGTTCAGTTTCTGAATGGCGGTAAATGAGAATGTCATCAAAGAAAACTAATACAAACTTCTTTAAGTAGGGCCTCAAGACCTGATTCATCAAAGCTTGGAAGGTGGAAGGTGCGTTTGTCAGTCCAAAGGGCTTACCAGGTACTCATAATGCCCTTCATGGGTGTGGAAGGTTGTCTTGTGTCTGTCTTCTTCCCTCATTATCATTTGGTGGTATCCCGATTTCAAATCCAGTTTGGAAAAAACAGTGGCACCCCCAGTTCATCTAGTAATTCTTCAATTATAGGTATATGAAATTTGTCAGGTATGGTTATCTTGTTCAAAGCCCTATAATCTCCACAAAACCTCTACCCTCCATCATTCTTTTTGACCAACAATACAGGGCTGCTGTTGGGTTGAATAATTCCTGTATTTAGCAATTCTTTGACAATCCTCTCTATTTCATCCTTCTGGTAGTGTGGTAGTGTGGGTATCTGTAAGGCTGGATATTAGGAATTTTAGCTCCCTCCTTGATGTTGATAGTATGATCACAACTCCTCTTTGGAGGTAACCCCTCGGGTACTTGAAATACCTCTTGATGTTGGTTCAACACTTCTTCCCAATAACTCCCTGGTGCAGCTCCACTTATTGGTATTGTTGGAGAGCTCTCACAAGAAATGTAAGGATGTTTTTACTTGGACTGTAATTCGTCCCAGACCTGTTCAGACCAGGCCAGACCAGACTTGGATAGTTATAAAAATACAAAAAAACGAGACCAGACCAGACTAGACCAGATCAGACCAAACCAGACCAGCAAATTACAGTCCAAGTAAAAACATCCTAACACCCCTGGCCTTTATTTTGCAGAGCTTTCACCATTGCCTTCCAGGAGGCCTTCACTTGACTTAGTATGGGATCTCCGTTCAGTTTTCTTTCTCTTCCATCTTCATACAACTTGATAGCAAGGCATTGAAAATTGAATTCTATATTACCCAAACTGGCCAACCATTCAACTCCCCCCACCAAATCAGTACCTCCCACTTCCAGAATGTAGAAGTTCTGTGTAATATCAATTCCTTGCATCTGAATTTGCATTCCCATACATATCCCATTGTTTCTATCCCTGTCTCCATTGCCCAGTTCTACTTGAAATCCTTCAATTTCCTTGTATGGTAATTGTTCTTCTTCCACCAAGGTGTGAGAGATGAAGTTGTGAGTAGCTCCACTATCCACTAGGATCAATACTGTTTTGTGGTGCCAGTTTATCAGCAAATCTCCTTCCAGTTTGAATGTTGATAGGATCCCAGACTGAAGAAAAATATTGATAATAGTAATAGAGTGATATTAAATAATGGTGGTAGAGTAAAAATAAGGGTTCTTGTCCATGTATATGGGCTTGGGCCAGCCTTTAAGAGTATCAGATTTGGGACTTTGGGTCTTGGGAGTGCTCGAGACCACTCGAAGTGTCTCCATTGTACCGTTCTCTTTTTAGTACATCCATTTCTTCTCAATATACCGTCAAATTTTCCCTGTACCTAACATTGGTATCAGAGCAGTTGTCTTGGGAAGCTTCGATCTAAGTCACGCGATAAAAAAATGGAGCGTGTGTCTACTCATGGCGGAAAGGAACTGCGCAGGGAGCATGGAAGATCCGATCAGGATGCTTCGGGCGGAAAAGGAGAGAAGCTGGCGGAAAAGGTTGAAATTGATTGGGCTAAGGAGATGCGCCATATGTTGGGGAAAATTCGTCACAGACTCAAGCGAACATAGAGACAGAGCGAGGAGCCCTCCTAGACACCGTCGGCCGATTGAAAATAATCTGGTGTCTTCGTCCGTTGCTCTTCCTAGTTCGCAAGTTCGCAATCGCGAACTGCATCTGGTAGTTCGCGGACATCTTCGTAATCACAAGTCTCTTCTCAGTCGCCAGCACTTCCGTCCAGTTGTTTGGCTTCTTCGCAATCTTCATCTCAAAGCTCGAAATCCCGAACTTCTTCGCAATTGTAGTCTACCAGTTCGCAGGTCTCAGTTCGCAGGGCTCAAGGCGCGACTTATCTCAGTTCACAGTTCTCATCGCAGGTTTTGTCGCAAAACACTTCTCACTGTGCGCAGGTTTCATCAGTCCCACAGGAGTTTGTTAGTGGGCGGCAACCTTCCTCTACAAATAGGAGTGCGTCCCGATCCAGAGAAAATGGAGAGAAGTTCACTGAGGGCAACGATGTAAGCCAGAAGAAATCGCCAGCAGAGTCTCTCACTTCACAAGCTTCACAGCTCAGTTTGAAAGTCATTAATCTGCGGCAACCTTCCTCTGACGCTAAGAGTGCTTCACAATGTGGAGAAAAAGCAGAGAAGTTCATTGAGGACGATTATGAAAAACGAGGAGAAATTGTCAGTGGTCCGGTTAATCTTGATTGCGAAGATTCTCGATGTTCTATGGGACTCTTCAACTTGGTTGAGGGTAGAGTTCAACCGATAACTTCTGAATATGGTAATAGTCCAAATGCTTCATATGATCAAATTCTTCCTCACAATGTTGAAATTGGGTTACAGCCAGGCACTGGGGTTTCAAGAGTGCGGAATATGAGACTGTTTGGAGTTACTGTCAATCCTAGATCAACAGGTGAACTGTCAAATGGAGTTGAAGTTTTTGTTAACTCAGTATATTCTGATGAGCAGACTAATGAGGATGAAAATGCTGAGGTTCAGGGCATGAAAACAAATTCTGCCACTGGTGAGGTACTTGAGACAGTAAGGGACATCAAGAAGGATGAAGAGTTAACAATTTATCACTACTATGTTTCTGTTTTTGGTGCTGGTCCAAATACAGGTGTAGGTAGTACATCACGGGAAAGCAAACAAACATTTGTTGCTATTGAAGGCTGGAAGGTTACTGAAGTGAATGGAATGTCTCTCGATACACCCTCTGCTACCAGGGAAGGAGCAGTTCAGGGAGTGAGGTATGCCCATGACAAAGCATTATCATGGTTTTGGGAGCCTATTGATCAGGGCAAGGTAAGGCCAAGGGAATTTCTTGGAGAAATATGTGTAAAAGGAGCGGGATTTGGTGGAAATTACCCAAAGGCAGTAGAGTCGGCTTATGATAATAAGGAATACTTTTACACGAAGGGTTATGGGGTGAAGAATGACTATATCCTGGTAAAAGAGAATTTTGAGAAAGATGCTGATAATGATGAGCCTGCTTGGTTCTAAAACCTTGGGGCTATTGTATCTGAGGTGAAGAGCTTGGAGAGCATTAATACTAGTGCAGCTACAACAACTCTAAACTCTTCCACTAACTCTTGGAGTGTTGCTATTGGAAACAAATCTGGTCAAGTTCCCTATTACAGGCTTGGCAGCAGTTCTAGCTTGGAGAAAACAAGATTGCATTTGATCACTGAACCCAACACTGAGTTTCTCTTTTCCCAAGTGGTGCTGGGTATCAATGCACAACTATCTTTTCACTTGTCAGTTTCCCAGTATGCATCTGGCAGTGCATGGCATCAGGATCCAAACGGGTTATGGCGTTTGAAAGCCGTCATGTTGCTCTGCTTGATATTGGTTCACCCTTGGTTTTGTTTCTAATGTACGGTCCTTCTAGCTCAAGATCTCTAGTCTTTTCTTCTAAGGCATCTTTGGGTGTTCATCAAAGCATTGTGAAACCGGAAGGTGGAATCCCTTATGGAAGTGAGGAAGAACTTGCTTTGTGCTTAACCAGAGATGGATGCATTATTTTAATGACTAGCAACATTGGCAGTTTGATCAATTCGCAGCCAGTGCATCCAGAGAAGGATATTGAAAGGAAAGATCAAACATCACCATCTGATCATGAGGAACAAAACCATTACAAAGATCCCAACAATCAGTGTGTTCTCCAGGCAAGCAAGCTCATGGTTCTGCCATCAGTTAGATATTGGGAAGGAAGAGGTGCCAGGATGAAGATGAAGTCGAAGATCAAGGCCTTTTCCTATCACCCACCTTGAGAACAAGGTGGTTGTCTAAGGGGGGAGATATGATAGGATCCCAGGCTGAAGAAAAATAGTGATAATAGTAATAGAGTGATATTAAATAATGGTGGTAGAGTAAAAATAAGGGTTCTGGGCCATGTATATGGGCTTGGGCCGGCCTTTAAGAATAAAATTAGTATAAGAGTGAGAGGGAGGAGAGGGGGAGGTTAGGCAGAAATCAGATTTGGGACTTTGGGTCTTGGGAGTGCTGGAGACCACTCGAAGTGTATCCATTGTACCGTTCTCTTTTCAGTACGTCCATTTCTTCTCAATATACCGTCAAATTTTCTCTGTACCTAACAAATGTTTTGGGAGTGGTGATCCCTTGTTTACTCATGGCAGATAACAACATAGGTTGGGATTCTATAGAGGTAATTTCCACCTCTGTTTTCCCCTCCTGATCATCCTTCACTCCCTCTTCTTCTGGTTCATCCACAATAGTAAGCTGGATGTGTTTCATTTTACATACATGTTCCTTTCCCCACCTTTCCCCGCATTTAAAACATAACCCCTTCCTGCTTCTTTCTTGTAGCTCTGTTTAGTCAACCTCTGACTTTGTTTCCAGCTGGTGTTTGGTTCAGTAGATTCCACCACACGGTTTTCAGCTTTAAATTTGGCAATAGCATTGGTTTGGGACCTCCATTTGCTGCCACCTATCCATTGTTGTGGTTTACCCAGTGTTCCTCCCTTTTCCATTCTACTCTCTGCTCTCCTTCCTTCAGTTTTCCACCTCTCAGGGCAGCATTCTTCCTTCCAGAACCATAGATATATCCATAAGTTCAGGCAATGCAGTTTTAGGATACAATTTAAGTTCTTCCTTCACCTCATCCTTTAACCCATTAAGGTATATTCCTTTCAACATTTGCTCATCAGTGTGTTTTAAGGGACCCACCACCATTTCATAATGTTCCCTGTACTCCATCACTGAACCAGTCTGCTTCAAACTAAGCATTGGTCCAAAAGGATTCTGTAAAAGCTCCGGTTGAAATCTCCTCATAAGTGCCTCTTTGAACAATTCCGAGGTTCTCTCCTCAGTCTTCCCTTCCCACCACTGAAACCAATTCAAGGCTTTTTCTTTCATAGCCAATACCACCAGTTCAATCATCTCCTGCTCGGTTACCTGATTTAATTTGAAAAACCTCTCTACTCTAATAAGCCAGG